GGTTTAATTTGAGTAGTTTTACAATTCAAGATTTTTGTTAACTATCTTAAAAAAAAAAACATATTCCTATTAAAATTAAATAATATTTAATCTCTAATAATAAATATAAGATGACCATGTAAAATATTGAACATTTTATGATGACATAATACCGCCCCAGACTGAATCTCATGCTGAAGGTTTATTCTGAATGTTAATTTAAGTTATCCTCCCAAAATTTTAAATAATGTTAAATAATATGATGTGTATGTGTTTATAAAATAAATGCTATAAATATTATTTAAAAATGAAAATATTGCGTGATAACTTTATATATCGGCYAGACTGAATCTCTTGTATGTTTGATCTAAATATTTGTGTCTAAAAATTATACCTACTTTTCTCCTTCTTATAAGTGTGTAACATATAGTGGTGGGCATATCTGGATTTCAAAAATCCGAATTATTCGGATTTGTCAAATCCGGATTTCACGGAGTATCCGGATTATTCAAGTAAAATTATTATAGTAAAATTACTCAGTGTTAACACGTTTGATGCAACAGAAATACTATTCCTACAAATATGTCTCCACTCTCCACTTGATATTTTTCGATAATTTTTATTTGATAATTGTAAAAGAACATGTCCGAGTAAACAAYTATATCGATAACAATTATTGTTGTAAGATAAACTTAACTTATCTTCAAAAAACCTTTTTCAATAACCATCCAAAGGTCATTCAGTAAAGATTAATTAATTGGGTATACACTATACTTGTCTATTTGAAATGTATACATTTCGAACGATTATTATGATATGAACTTTGATATAATATAACATTTGTTTAAATTTTCATTATAATAAAATAATTTATTTTACCATACATTAAAAATATTTGTAAGTCTGAAGTCACATAAAAAGCAAATCCATAAATCCGGATAATTCGGGAAATCCGGATAAGAATTTGATTCAAATCCGGATTTGGATATCCGGATATTCAGATATTCGGATTTCATGCCCATCTCTAGTAACATACCAAATTTTACGCTTAGTAGATCATGTTTAGCTCCATTAATTTATGATCTAGACTACTAGAGTGAATTGACCTGTTATAAAATTTAAAGGTGTAAGTGTGTGTTAATTAGATCTCATGGGCTTTCTATTATATTTTAATTTTGAAGAGAGATAAGTATCTTWAATTTGTTAATTTKTCTTACATCTTAAAATACTTATGATTTTTTTAAGATAATGTATCTAATCCATATAAAAATGTAAAAAGTTGAACATTTTATGATGACATTATACCGCCCCAGTCTGAAACTTATGCTGAAGGTTTAATCTGAATGTATGTCATTTTACTTCATATAACTTCAAGTTATATGTTAAAAAAAAATTAATTATATGTTTATTTTTTATTTTTTGTATAAAACCACCCTTATAATCAAATAATATAAAATATCAATATGCTATTTTACTAAATATTTAGTTAACTTTAAATAATTATAAGATTAAATAAATAGGTAGGTCAAGTTAAGTAACATATTAATTGATCCTTAGAAGTTTAAGTTATAGTACAATTTCTTCCCAACATTAAAGAACTTGGCATCTTTGGTTGATATAWTAATGCCTCCAGTTTTACAGGTCATCATAGTCTATATTTTCTCTTTACACATTTTGTAGATTTTATCTAGTGTAAGACTTCAACTATTTACCGGGTTGTCTTTGATCCATCCCATCCCATCATAAGTGTGTTGATTGTTCACCAGATTGGCCAGTCTAAATAATTTTAATTGGTTGGTATTCAACTGGTTCTGGCCACTTCCTGATCTCTYTCTCTTTCTCTATWTATTTATAGGAGTTTTCATCTATCAATCATTTGTATTCATTATTTAAACTGCTCAAGACTGAAGAATATGATGTTGACGATTTGAGCTGATGGTCAAATTCAAATTTTTTTATTATTTTAGTAATTTGGCTTTTCTATAATGTATACAGAATAATCAATTTACATTTTTAGAAAACATATGTTTAATACTGAACCAATAATGATGACATTATACCGCCCCAGTCTGAATCTCATGTTGAAGGTTTGATCTGATGATGGTTCAATATTATACAGATTTAACTCTTGTTTTTAAAACATAACCTGGATAATATTTTGTTGTTGCTATCTTACAAGTGTGTAACTTACCAAATTTACTTTCGTAAGTTCTCATTTAGCTTAATTAAATTTATCTATAATTAAATTTAACGGTAACAGCATAGTCTAATAGTTTTGTTGGAAATGTTTTTAATATTTTAAGCAAGTAATTTGCATTTTTAAATTTTAATATTCTACACAACTCATTTCTAAATTAAAATACTGAAAAAACATTTTCAACAAAACAGAAAATGCTACTTTTGAGTCTATTAATTATATATATTTAACTTTGTACTATTGACATGATCATGTTGAAGGTTTGATCTGAGTAACTATCAATACTGTGACGTTTTTTGTATGTTATTAACACAATTTAATGATACCAGTTAAGTGTATGAATTTTATATACACAATATTCAGCAAAATATATACWATTATAAATTTCAGAAAAGAGTAATATATTTTAATAAGTTTGTTTTATTAAGTTATGTTTAGTCAATAATAGTCTGTGTATTTTTGAGTTTTAATCTGTTAATAATTAGAGTATAATTAGTGAATAGGAAGTTCTGGAGATTATATATTATATTTAAGTAAAAAACATTAACTTTGAAAAATTACAGTTTCATGTATTTATTCTTTATGTATACTATAATTTATATGATCTTAAGTTGCTTGTGTACTGTTGGCATAGTTACCCAGGTAAACTGGACGTTACTCGACCATTGAATATTATCCATAACATTAAATAAATGAGGTTGTAAATGTTAATTCAAATTCGGTATCGGATATAATACTGTACAAATAGTGATGAAATTATACCGCCCCAGACTGAATGTCATGTTGAGGGTTTGGTCTGAATATTTGTCAACTCAAGTTATTTAAAATTGTAATTTAATTTATAAATGCCACATACTATGATGATTTTATACCGCCCCAGACTGAAAATTATGTTGAAGGTTTGATCTGAGTAACAATGCAATTTAAGCTTAATTCCAATTTTTGTTTCTACTTCTCTAAACTAAATATTACAGTGTAAGTTAAATGTGATTAAAATTTGTTCATTGTGTACTTCCACTGTAYTCATTGTTATGATGATTATATACCGCCCCAGACTGAATGTCATGTTGAAGGTTTAATCTGAACATATTTRTACCTATGTTAAATTTTGATGGCTAAAATGCTAAATAATTTTATATGTGTGTGATTGCAAAAGTTATTATCCTAGCATATTTATTTTATTATATACTTATCGAGATACTTATTTAGGATGTCTTTATACATCAATGCTTGAAAATGTATGTATATTTTTAAATTTTTCATTCTTAATTAATAATTGGCCTTCTGAGTGGCTAGCTTGCATATCATTAGTTCCCTTCTTTATGGATTGATAAAAAAAATATATATATATATATATACTTTTGTTTTGGCTAGTTCTTTCAGTATGACAACTTATGCAATATTTTTTAATTTTAAAATGTTTTGATTTAGAAACTTATCATGTCATTTATACTTAGACTAGGGTCGTTCTTACAATATTTGGTTAAAGTTTACAAACACTTTTCGGACATTGTAAGAACGGCCCTTATTATAGTAAGTTTTAATGTAAATCTAACCCGACAAAATATAATAAAAACAGATGAATATTTTTCTTTTAATGTCTCATAGTTTTATAGGCATCCTTTAAAATAGGCATTTATTAACTGTATATAAAATTCCTGGATACCTAAAAAAAATTCCAAAATGCTAATGGTTGATGAATGTTTAAGTTGTTTGATATAATATATTTAAATTTATACATTTCTTGAAATAAATATATCATATTAAAAATTAAATTGTATGTACCTAATCAATGATTAAATAGATTGTTTWATTTTAATTTTATAGGATTAACATTCGTATTGAACATGTTAACCCATCAAAATGTCGAGATGATTTCTTGAAGCGTGTCAAAGAAAATGAAGAAAAAGTTGCTGATGCTAAAAAGAAGGGAATTAGAGTGTGCCTTAAACGCAAAGTAAGTTAAAAGTTATTTTTTCAATAAAGATTTAATATCTTGTTTTTAGATTATTCTATTTTTTTATTATTATGCAGCTATGATTTTATAGTTAAATATTTTTAGATTTTGAATGTAGTAGTGAAGCTGCTATTAGTATATTTAATTATATAATAAGTAATATTTCAATAAGAAAATATGATTAGGAAAATTAATACWCGAATAAGTGAATATTTGCATTTTATTTTTGAAGTAACATTATATTAATTATTAACATATGTTTGTTAACATATTTTGTCTTCTTAATTTATTAATTTACCTGTATTATTTTATAAAAATTAGAATTGTAGAAATTAAACAAAGTTAGCTTCTCTTTAAAATGTTTTATAGATTGATTTAAATAAATTATATGCATAAGTAGCTAACAATTGATATATTATTGATGAGATTATAATATGTATTTGTTTAAAAATATTTTACCTATATTATTGCTATATATTTTCATTGTAGAATTAGTTTTAAATGCAATGAGCTTTAATTAATTTCATTAAACTGTGAAGCTATATAGTATATTGTTCAAAAAAAAGGATACAAATGTAATTAGTAGGGTACTAGGAAATACTAGTAAGTGTAACACAAGTAAATAATACAAAAATGTTCTCTTTCTGTTTCTCAAAATTCTCTTTACAAATTATATCGAAGTTTKAATAATACCTTTAAAAATTTATAAACATACTAACAYTTTTATTTAAATATTGTTTTGATCATGTATTTAATTTGTTTTYAGCCTCAAGGACCTCGACCCGGTCACATAGTAAGAGGAACGGATCCAATCAGTTTAGCTCCTCTACCTTATGAATTCATTGCTTAATTGCTGCTTTAAATATAAATGTCGATTTAAACACATTTCTCGTTTTTTTTTTCAATTATTAAATTCTTATTTGACACTTCCTGTTAATAATGTTTCGTTAGTCCATGTAAACAAATCTGTCTCTCCTTAAACCATCTGAAAAGATTCCGGCATTGAAAAGCATCAGTAAGCCGCATTCGTTCCATTCAAATTTTATCCCTGTAGTTAAATCCTTCCCAGTTTCCCTACWATCCGAGATTTCTCTCGTTATCGTGTAAAACTGTTGAGGACTTTGTATATGGCAAACGATACGCTATTATGCAAGATTCTATACAAACAGCACTATAACAGTGCACGGCAGTGCAGACGTGTTCTAAACTTGCACAACATTTTTTGCTCTTTATACGCTTTCGCTGGTAAAATCTATTTAGGTTTTATACTTTAAATCATTTTCTTTAATTTTTTTATTTGTACATGGTTCTTATTCATTACATTTAAATGTAGGTACTTTCATTTTTTCGCGAAAGCAACTTAATATTATTCCGTTAGTGACGACAACGTCTAACTCATCAGTCATTATTATTAGACGTGAAATCGATTGGGTTTACTTATGGTTAGATTCCACGTCGCAATTTGACCCATTATTTGTAAGTATTATAGTTATTCGTCATTAAAATTAGTGAATTTATATATTAAAAGTTGTTAAGGAACAACATTTAGTCAACATCAAGGTGCACAATCTCCGGGTGTTATTATATAACGCATATATACATAGTAATGTCTATCTCTATTCYTAATTCTTCAGTGTAAAGAATAAATAATCTGGATGGATATTTGATATAAACGATGATTGATGATAATAGATCGATAGAAAGAACACCCACATTTAAACTTTTTAGATTTAAATAACAGT